CAGGAAAATTCCTTAGAAAATCCATAAAATCCTTTAAGTCTTGAAAGTGAAAATTCATTTTTGTTTGATTTTTTTAGTTAGAATTTTATAGTTTTTTTTTTTTTTTTAAATAAATATTTTTGCTTAACTTTAAATTTTTTAAATGCTTATTTTAGTGCTTATAATGATGTTTTTAAGTGCTTTTTTTAAGCGCTTATTTTAATGATTTTAAGTGCTATAAGTCCTAAGCCCTGATCATGATTGCGAGAGGGGCGGTGGCACTTGGAGCGGTCGTTTTCAACGGGCCCTCGCGCATTTTGTTCGGTGTAAATAATTAGAAAAATGACTGTTTATACTGTACGGTCTACTCAGATTATTTTGTTTAAAAAAAGTATGGAACAAGACAACCGTTTTCTCGAAATCTTTTCACCGTAAAAATACACCGTACGATATATACATTGTCAGTTATTAATCTTTACCCATGTGTATGGTGACCCAGATATTGAAAACATCCAAAGACCCTTGGCGATCAAAGGGTAAATCGATGGGGGAGAGAAGGGAATGAAAAACTGACCGAAATCAAAATCATATGATTGATGTAATTATATAGTTTTGATTTCGGCTTGTATTCAGTTCCATGTACGCGTATATGGTAACCAAAATGCGAACACGGTATACTTACTCGGAGTGCATTCGAATGAGAAAAAGTAGATTTACATCAATCGTACCGAAGGTTTTTTTTTTATTTTGAGGGAAGATTATTTATTTTTACCGTTGTTCAAATCGAATGATCTCTTATGTTTTTACAAACGTATTAACATTTTTTTTTTTAGTAGCTTTAAGTACTCGAGCTCGTTAAAATATACCAATTTACCGGAATCGCCGTACGTTTTCCCGGTAAATTCCACATCCTCTCATCGTAACGCGTCGAGAGTATATGTAAATCGTAACGACAACCAACAATAACGGTAAGTGTTTTTCTGTATTTTTTTTTCACACGTAATAACTATTGCTGCAGCGTTTCGTCCGGCGGTACTTTCACTATAATCCTTTACTAATACTTTTCGACTCACCGAAAATGTTTTCAGTATAATCATCATACAAGGTTATTTGTCACTGAACTTAACCATATGGTTTTAATTAGAATATACAAAGCTTCTATACGACTGAAAATCTATGTGTGCTACAGGTGGCAACGATTGTGTCCATTGGACATGCGTTAAGAATTAGATCAGTGGTACTCAACCTTTTTTATTTTTCACGGCACTCTATTATACATCAAAAGTTTACGTGGAATACTCATGCACTTGACAACAACAAAAACTTTCGCTACGCGCTAAGATATCCACTTGGGTTAAAACCGTACAGTTTACCTGCACATGTATCCACTTATATGCAAAATTAATTGACATTAAAAGTGCACAATCCTACGCTACTTTTTCAGAATTAACAACTGACCTATCTCTTTCTATATATATTTTGGCGAAAATTCAGGATATTACGAACACTAAGACTGAAATATAATGAATTACCACTAATTAGATTTTAGATTTATGTTGTCACAGAATATCCTGTAATTGCAAAAGAAACAATCAACATTTTGTTACACTTTTCAACCAGTTACTTATGCGAGTTAAGCTTTTTGGCATTAATAAACATAAAAAAACAAAAAAATGGGACAGGCTTCTTTCCATTGATTAGGAAATGCGTGTGTGCTTGTCTTCAATTCAACCATATATCGAACTTATGTGTAAGAAACGATAGGCTCAAGTTTCTCACTAATAATTTCAAAAATCCCTCTTTATGATATAATATTCCTTTGCTTAAATAATTAAGTTCTCGAAATAATTTTTTTTTTGTTTTTATATTTTTTTAAAAATAAATATAATCAAATAAAATATATTGAAAAATTGCTAATCACAAATATCAGACATTTATCGCGGCACACCTGATCGATCTCACAATTCAACGGTTAAGAACCACTGAACTAGATATTTCTTTTTCGCCATGCGTAGTGGTGTTCCAATAATGTTTCCGTTTAATGGGTTCAAATTTAGTCGAAACTTAAAAAAAAATTCGAACAAAGCCTACTAATCGGTTTTCAGATGTTGAACTTCTTAAACGAGTGCTTTATATTGTCTACGATTAGGGTTACAGCAAATATAATAAGCGATCGAAAACAATTGGTTTTCCTAAAATTTCGGGGGGAGGGGGAGGGTGCAGCTCCCCCCGTTAATACGCGTTTCACGTGGGGAACAACGACAACGTGTATTACAGCGCGATTTACCACGTGAAGAAACGGTAATATTATAATAATATATTTACACATACGACTATGTATACGTCGGTGAACGCGGAAGCGTTTGTTTTGGTTAATTTCTCGAGTATATTTTATTAATGATGCGCCACGTGCGCACGGGCATACATCACCTTTACACACACACACACACGTTTATGTAATATAAATATATTCGTATTTGTACGTGCCGGTGATTTGTCATTGTGCCACGAATGCATTTGGTGCTGCTGCGGACTAGCAGTTATTGTTGCTCGTAATGCAGATACCCGCTACGCGTAAGCGTAAATAAATAGTATAATCCGTTGACCTGTTTTATAGCCATAAATTGCCCGAGATATTGTTGCCGCCCTTAAAAACGTACGTACGAAATTCCTTTGAAAAAAAAAAAAAAAAATTAAAATAAAAATTAATTTACAAAACTTAAAAAACGACCTTTTAAAATATGTTTTATTTGTCTAAACAGATTGGAATGAAACGAAATAAATAAAAATAAAAATCGCATTAACCGTAACTCATGTGCCTAGTCGACGAATTGCAATATAAAACGTATTTATATATTCATTCAATATTATATCTTATCATAACACCGAAAAAATAATGAATTCGTGGTTATATTTTCGATTAAAGGAAATTTGTTGATGATACAACGACATTATCAAAAATGTCCGTAAAATATCAAAAAATGTCATAAAAAAAAAAAAATACAAAATAAGAATAAATAATTTTGTTTCGCATGTTTTTGAAACACGTTTCAAACTTGCTAAGTAACGTGCAGGACGACAAAAAAAATAAAAAAAATACAGAAGTTTTCAACATCGCGCGCGCAGTTTGTTACTACAGCACACGTTCCCGAACGCGTGTCGACGATGTTGACGCCACGCGAGTTCTCGCATCACTTCTTTCGGCCGAAAATTTTGAATATGTAGTAAGCGTACGTTTAACGAGATTTGAATGTTTACGGGTGAACAGACCCGTCGAGTTTTTATTTTTATCGTTTTCAACAGATCCAATGTCTATTGTGTACATGTATTATGTGTATTGCCGAACTACTTGGAAATTCATCGGCTCAGTTCAACAGGGTATTACGTTAGCGGTAAATCGGCATTCGAATATTAATACATTATCCGTACAAATTATTTTGGCCCTCGTATTGCATTAATGACGATAAATATAATATTTGTTCTACTTACGGTGTAACCAAACGATTGGGCACGATTGTAATAAAATCAACAGTTTCCCAATAAAGGGTTACCGTGCAGTGATTGCAATCATTGTTCGAATGGTAATTAAGTTAAAAAAAATTCGTACTGTTTCCGAACAAACGCGAAAGCAAATAAATTATTAGAATCTCTTAGTGTTACACGTTTACTGTTTGTAAAGGCCTAAGCACTTTGACGATTTATCATTGTTTTCGAATAAAGCGTAATACAACATTAATGCGACACCAGTTAAAGCCGAGATAATGTAATACGATTTCGTTGTACTTGTAAGATATATATATATATGTATAATATATATATATATATATATACATTGTATATATATAATTTTTAAACTTTTAGCTCCTTTATTTTAAGGTTTCACCACAGGATGTTTTACTCGTCGAACACTATTCGGCCGGAAAGATTAAAGCTAACTTAGTTCCGGTCGTAGTTTTGCACGTGTTACGTCGAATTCGTGAAAATTTCAATTTCCACGCCGTCGTCTAACACGTGAATTCGGCAATATCGCTACGGATTCCATGAATAAGGGAGATTTTTTTTTTTTTTTTACACGTTTCAATCTGCAAATATATGTTATCACTGATGACTTATCACCTTCGGTTACCGCGAACACGTGAACGCACAACGGCGTTGCTGATTTCGTGAAATCGACAATCTCACGAATGACGACGATGCCGCGTGCAATTGACAAACACGATCAATTGTTTCCCTGAACATCGACGATTGACGAAACCGGTTCGTATCAGATATGTTCCAAGCCGAAATCATTGTATATCGCGTGAACGATAAATAATAGATAAGTTAAAAAACTATTTTTTCATTGAATTAGTAGTAATCGATCGGGAGAACGGTTTACAAACAAACGTGTCGGGATTTTGAATCAACGTCGAATACATTATTTTCATTTTTTTTATTTGTCCTTATAAATTTGGCTATCGCACACACACATACGTAGCTACATTTCCTTAGCACCCCCACCTTCGAATTTTGGTTTCAAACCAAGGGCTTTCGATTGTGCTACGTTTGTGCAGGATTGTGCTCGAATTTTATCGTCTGTACTACAACCCCTAGCGAGTTACAAGGGTTTTTAATTGGGGGTGCCAGTGAAACGAGAGCACTTATATTCATTGTGTTCGAGCCGGACACAGGCGGGCAGTTGATTTGCTCGCGCGGTCCTCATCGCGAGACATTGTCGCCTTCGTAACCCGTACGAGATGATCTGGTGCTCTAGAAAATTCTATGGTTCACACCTATCCCAGGCTTATGAAAACGAACCATCGGCCGCCATCGGGGGGAACACGTTTTTCTCCGCTTGTCCACGCCATGATGACAACCGTCCTATGTCGAAACACCGAGAAAAAAAAAACCGATTTCCTCCTCGAAATTCCGATGTATCGACAATATCCGATTTTGAAATGTCCATCTAACCGACAGGTACGTCGGAACACCGACGTTCGAAAAACGTTGCCCGTCCATAGTAAACCGGAGACTATATTTACCTTCAGCTTTTGTCCGTTGAGCGCTTCCAGTTTGTTGTGCCGTTCCGCGATCACGCAGGATATTTTTAAATAAACGTAAACGACAACTATGAGCGGTAAGAAAAACGAGCCCATCGCCGAGAACACCACGTACGCCTGGTTCTGGTTGTACGTACAGCCGTGGTTGCTGTGACGGTTCTCGTCGTACCTGGAACAACGGAATACAACAATAGAATTTCGCATCAAAACAGGCACGCGGCCAGTGGTGGTAGGGGGCCGGACCACCTTTAAATTAACTCAGGTCCGAGACTCGTTAAGAAATTTGTTTATACCGAGTGTCGAAAACATGCTACGTCTGTTGCGACGACTATCTGATAGTACAATTTATCGTGGTTGTTTTTTTCATTTTTATACGACTTGTATGTAGATATAATTTTAAATAAATTTTATTAAAAAATTTAATTAAATAAATTTAAATAATTTCAAGTAAATTTTATGTTCGTAGAAAACGTTTACTTAAAGTTAACATTTAGGTTTCGTTTATAGTCGACATAACGTTCAATGGAATCTACAGTGTCAAATGGTGCCGTCTACATTTGGCGTAAGTACTCTTACGGGTGTCTGGTGGTGCTTAGCAACCCAAAAGTCTAAATCAGCAACCCTGGTTCATTTCGAAGTAAAAATATTGTCCAAAGAGGATTATTTTACGAGAACGACTATGTTCCGATTCGCATTGGTAACGTACGAATGCCGCGGACATGTAATGTACATACGTTGCACACCAGTGCCGTATTGACTGGAAGGTACAAAAATTACCAGTATGAAAATAACATATACAGTTTATTTGAATGGATTTGTTGATTAACTTTACCTACACCCCTTGTCCCGCAACCTTTTAGGCTATTGCATTATGTGCTCGAGTTTGAATCGTATTATCAGTATTATCAAAAAATTATATGAAAATAATGTGCACCAGTTGTTTTAAAAATAAATTATTTTCTTCTCCTTTCGGATTTAAGGACCCATTGAGGCGCATGGCTACGAAACAAACTTCTTCTCGTCTGTCCCTATCCAGAGCTAATTAATTTATATTGTCCTAGTTCCTTCCTGCTCTTATCAATTCATGTCTGCTTTTGTCTTTCATCCGGTCTCCCTTTCTTGCGGCAATCAGTTTAGTATACTGTTTGTTATTGACTTAGCCTTTAGTACACGATCAAGCCGACCCTGTCTTGTGTGTGGTATTTTCGCTATTATATATTTTTTTCGAAAGATTCCTGTAGTTCCCTGTTAGATCTGATTTCGTACGTTTTGTTTACGTTCCTTTTAGGTCATTATATTATAAAACGATTATATTAAAATGTTTAAAATGAATATAAAATTTATTTATTTATTTATTTGCTATAACATGTTTTTTAATGATTGTTCTAGTTAACTAGTAATTATCACTCAATAATAAATCCTAAGTCTTATGTATAATAATATAGGTAGACAATTCAACCATGTTAAACATCTTAACACAATCCTTTGATACGATGGTTTGGATTAAATTCTTTGTTTCAATAATATACTATCATATTTATTTAGGTATTTAGTATCGTATTATATTTAAAATTTTTAAAATTAAAAACATCGTGATTTTTTTTTTGATTTTTTTTTTTTTTTTTTTTCGTCCCATCGCATCAAACAATCGCGTCCAGTCGCAGTGCGTTCGCGGAATATAAGTGGCGTTTTTGTTGAATTTCATATTTTTTTTCGATTCGAAACGAACCGACCTTCAGGCGCACGCAATACCAACCAGCCGAAGAGCGGAGCGCACGTGATGACCAGCGAGACGAGCCACACGACCAGTATCATGAGCGACGCGAGCCTTTTCGACCGCCGTTTTTTCGAATACCGCAGGGGCTTCGTGATGGCGAAATACCGGTCTATCGATATGGCGCAAAGGCTGAGTATGGACGCGGTGCACAGGCACACGTCCAGCGACACCCAAATGTCGCATATCAAACGTCCGAACGTCCAAGTGCCTGTAACAATCGTACATTCGTTACAATCGCGTCGGCAATCGCGGCACACGGGCCGCAGCAGCGCCAAAAACATGATGGTATCGCATCCGCGTGTACTCAAAAGACGAAAAAAAAAAATAAAATAATAAATAAAAAATACCTCGCCATCGCTACTGCGACCATTATTTTTTCTTTTTTTTTGACCGTAACACATCTCTTCCAACTCTACCGTGTAAAACCTACCGCTCCACTTGTTCGCTACGTTTTTCGTTTCAGATTTTATTACTTTTTACAGCTAACGCTCGTAACAAACACTTATCCTTTTTTTCCCGGTCTATCCGATAAACGGAGAGAACAGCACCGCAGCCCGAACTCAACAATGCGTTGTACCGTGGTTTTTATTTCGAACGCGAGCATTACGTTACACCGGGATAGGTGGTTTATAACTGATGACTGCCAAATAAGTAGCGGTGAAAACCCACGTAAATTATGTTACACCGATAACGATGATCTATGCATTTTCACGTGAAAAGCGCGACGCACGCGTACGGCAGACTTGTTCGTGCACCAGGAGCGGTCAACATGAACGTACACGGACGGATAAAAAAACGTACGGGAACGGTTATGAAAACGGTTACGATGGTACCACTTGCGGTCAAAACGTGTCGGATAGTTCCGAACGATTTCGAAAACTTGTATCTGAAAGTTCATTCGATCGGTAATCGCAAAGCTTTCGGCATTCAATTGTATTCGAGTAACGAACGTTTTATTCGTTTTTTTTCGGCGCTATTACTTTAGTTTCGGCGGTACACTGCGAGCGTTCCGACGACGTTACGTGAACGGCTACAGTATCATCGACCACTGCCTGTTGCGATGTTAACAACAACGTAATAATAACTATAAAACAATAATAATAATAATAACTAGGGCCCGGATTTTAACGCAAAGTGCATATTTTTTTGGTTGTTCGTGCACGACACTTTCTAAGAACATAGTTCGTTTCATGTAACGAGGGTTTCAAAGCTTCAAATTTTGTAATGCATTTATTCTTGCATATTTCGACGGTTTTTCATTTTTCAGATCATTTTGTTGGTTTTTAACGCATATTTGTTCAATTTACTAAACAAATTTAGCCTATTCAGAATAATATCAAAAGATAAATTATTTTCTTGATATTTAAGTAAGCTTATCGGATTTTTCCATGCACGTTGTCAGTGTTTATTTTTCTTTTCAGTTTCTATCTTATCTTAATTTATTATTGACTGTGAAACGTCACCGGTATTCGGTCAAGTAACAAATAATCAGTCAGTTCGTGTTACATCGCAGACACACATACACTTAATAAGATCGCAATGTATTGGTGTGTTAAACAATCCCAAAAATAAAAAATATATGTCATTTTTAGGGTTTTTTTTTTATTTTTAAGTTCATTTTTGTAGTAAAATGCATTTTTTTACGGACATTTTTGGCTATTTTTCAGAGCATATTTATATGATTTTAAATGCATTTAAATCCGGGCACTAATAATAACGATACGTCCCTGCCGGCGATTGTTCTCCGTGACACTTACCCATAACGTGATAGACCGCAGCTATGGGCATGACGAACGTGCCGACCAGCCAATCGGCCACTGCCAGCGATGTCACGAAGTAATTCGTCACCGTCCGCAGTCGCCTGGTCGTGAACACGGCGAATATGATCAACGTGTTGCCCACCTGGAAACGACGGAAAAAATGATGAATTCAATGCGTCCGACGTACGCGGTGTTTTTTTTTTTTGGTTTCGGTTTTAACTTGCTTGACCGTTAGAAAGGGGGAGATGGAGAGCCGTAAAAAAACGCGTTTTGCGTGGGAAGTGAAAAAAAATTAAAATTAACCCTAACCGACTGAAACATCGAGTTCGTTTTTTAATCTATGTTGTTTTTATTGCGGACCATAGTTAAACAAGTAAAATCACATACGTTAAATGTACACGTTTTACACATTGTTCGTTAATATTTGTATCATTGAAAACGATACATCGTATTATTAATATTTTATTCACGATTTTTCGGCAGAAAAACCGTATTGCGAAATCTTTCGGTGTAAATTCACAGTAGTTTTACGTTTTAAAAAGATAACTTTGTCTCTGATCCAGTATTTTTATCCTTTCGATTATTTTTTTTAATTTTCACAAGTCCTAACGCATGAATAACTTTGAATCCTTGTTTGTTTGCGAAAATACAAAAACGCTACATCACAGATCATGTTCTTCTCTTTAAAAAACATACGACATCGTGTCTCTACCATGTAATCACGCATGATGGTCTTGCCACGCGTAAAGCATATTTAATAAATTAATTAATTAACCAATTATTTAATTAGCTTATTAAATATATTGTATATGCTTAAATTACTGGTATATCAAGTCCTTTCATGATTCTGAGTGCGAGTTACAGCCGAGAAGTTTTCAATCTCGTAAAACGTTACTAACAGAAAGGAGACCGACTACTTTTTATACATCTAATAGATGTCGCTAACTATCCAATAATAATGGTCACTGTAATGCGTAATCATCCGATGAACAACGGCTCGTCTTATCCGATTGAGGTGATATTTGTATTGATTCTAGGCGATGTCACGGACCGGTATGATGTGGCGCCTTAAGCTAAGTTACATGCACAGGTGCAGATAGTGTTTGAAATTTTGGAGGGTTGAAGCTCAGGTCTGTATTAGATAATTTTACGTCATACCGAAACATTTAGCAAAATAATTGGTTTTTTGATGGCTACGGTAGTTCTAAGGAGGGGGGGGGTTGAGTCTTCTTCCTATTTTCAGCTGTATGTATTATTATCTTTGTAAGATAAAAAAATATAAAACTCAATAGGCTTTTAATGTTATTCCAATTATTCTTATTAAATTACATAATATTATATGCTTAGTGCAAGGAACACGCATGCGTGGAGTCGTGTTTTTACTCTCGTTGTTTTTAAAATCGAAGATTGTATGATTTTGGATGATCGAACAGGATCGTCGACAGTAAAACAATTAGCAATTAATTGAAAACTTCAAACATTCTATTATATCGTATTGTTTCGGTTCGAGGTTTAAAACCACTTGGGACCACATGCGTCATACTTCGAGTATGTATACGAACTAAGCCCTTGTGCTAAAATTATTAACATAATAACTCACTGTCTAGAAGACTCATATTAGCTGATTTAATGTTTACAAACGATATTTTGAACAACCACGTTGTCAGTCACGATATATTATCTGAAATAGATTTACGTACACATTGGAGTAATACAAGAAACTTAGATTTATTTACAACACTATTATCAAAGCTAACCGAGGAAATTACACGTTTGTTTCCAAAATTTTTTTGTTTTGGACAATAAAATATATCTAACGAGTTGGATTTTTTTTCACTTCCTCAAAATATATTAATACATTTAAACATAAGGAATTATACAGTTTAAAATATCATTAATTTTAATTCCATTTCAATTAAATAGTAATTGAAATATTATTACATTAATTAATCAAATTTACATATATATATATATATATATGTATACATTTAAACATTACCTGTTTTAATATAACCATGTTGTTCTTTAATTACTTTAGTATTTAACTAGAGCTTGTTCAATAGTTTATGTACTGATACCCGGTCTAATTTAAAATGAAATCGGCAACATTTCCGTAAAATAAAAAAAATAAATAAGTATTTGTATCGAAATGCGGAATCGAGCAACGATGGAATTGGTTCCTGCGGGAAGGGAATCTTGCCGGATATGAGCTGACAGCTGTAAAGAGGTCATCGCAGAAGGGTGTTTTCGATCACGTACCACATTACAATACGTACACCTCGAGTTAACCGAAAGGTATTTATTCGCAAGCATTGCGCACGCAACATTGTTGGAATTATTGGTCGAAATAAAGTGTACTACGTGATGGTATATATTATCATTGTCGAGATTGCAAGTCGAGTGAAAAAACTCGTATACGAGCGTGGAATGCACTGCGAACGTTTTAGATTTTAATAAGCGGAAGAAAAAAATAGATTGAAAGACGGTTAAAAAAAAAAAAAGAAAAAATTCGACTCAAAAATACATTTTAGTCCTATACGTTTATACGCATATAGAACGTATACCGAAACGCCTGACTGAATATACGTTTCATATTTTATACATATTTTATTTTCGGTGAAACATTTCAGGACGGATGGAACACAATAATTTTTTTACCAATGTTATCTCGAATATTAATACTTCGCGTTTGAAGTGGTCGCGCGTCACATAAATAACGTAATAAATAAAACGGATTTATAGATTGCAATGACATTTGAATACAATTTCCGCGTTCCAAACGAACGATAGCGGTAAATATATTATTACGCGGTTGTTTACTTTTTACCGTAGTTACAAAAAAACGTGCAGTTATTCCTATTGCTATTCACGTGCGGACGACTCGGCTAGAAAGGCGCGAAGATAAAAGGAACAAAGGCGTACAGAGCACAGCGGGTTCTGATGACGTTAGCGGATATAAATATTATTTATTTATAAATACAACGAGTGAACAAGCTTACCTCGGTATCTCGCGAATCGTACGGTTTTCGGTTCAGTGAAACATGTGAATAATTCTGAGTTCAGTGACGAAAAATAAAAACGTTGCGCGCCCAAAGTGTCAACATTTGCAATGAATTGTTTCCGATTGATTCGTTTCGGAGGAAATTACGTGTGCAAAAATATTATGCGTGCGTACGAGCAAACTTTTTAACATTAGTTTCGTTCGGAATATTATCACGTCGCTGCGGATTTCATAAAAAAAAAAAACAAAAAAAAAAAAACTTTGCTCACCGAAAATATGTACCGAAGTTACTAAGTTACTCCAAAAACATGATTCTAGAAACCGATTGTAACTTCTTGAGTACACCTGAGATTCGGAAATTTACTAAGTATTTTTATGTTCCCTTCTTATATCAATTTATATGTATAAATTACCATATGTTTATGAATTTTGCCGGTAAAATATCGATTGGTAAAAATCAAAACGAGCTAGGCGATTCTTGTGTTGGTATTTTTATAATCCATCGGAAGGTTCCGGATCCGCACATCTCGTGTTGCCGGTCACCCGTTACCGAACCACAGACCGCACCCGTTTCCGTGTGAATATCCGAAGGGGCGCAAACAAATAAATAAATAATAAGTGCAAACCGCGAACGGTCACCGTAACGGAGACTTATCGCGATCGCGACGTCTCTTGTCCGGCCGCGGCTGCGTGCCGCTTCGTTTCCTCGTCACCCGTCCAAAAAATCGACCGCGTTCTCGTGATTTTGAACGTAAACCATTATCGCTTTACCGTGTGATCGTCGTTTTTGTGCACCTTTCCGTTGTGTAAATCGTTATCTCGTGTTTTCCTTCGTCTCGTAGTCGTCTTCGATGTCGGATGCCGTTTCGATAGCGCATTTTTTTTCCACCATCACTGTTCCGCATTGAATCGTTATAAACATTCGTACGCAAATTACGGCTCATCACTGCACACACATCGGTCGTACGCTTTTCCAGCACGACGGTACGTTCATATCTTTATTGTCTTCGCCTTCGAGGCTGTTGTTACACTGCGCGCAGTTTATTCTTCGTGCGATCCGATCGGAATAAAACCAATGACCACCAGGTTACCAGCAATCGAACCCGTTACCTCATCGCGCGTCCCGTGAGTTGTACATTTTATGCGTTTTCATTCCACTCGTCCCCGTCCCCGTCCGTGATCGTTCGGTCCGTTGGCGAGTGACATCACATGTCTTCTAGAATTCCGCACCCTTCACCTTTGACTCTTTTTCAGTTACCATCATCGTCGTCGTGGTTTTTAAGGTTTAGTTTTTAAGGAATGTTTCGTTCGTACGATTTTTCGGTAAGCTCTGCGGGTCATCGCACCAGACCGATTCGACCGCAGAGACTCTCCCGCCCTCCATCGACAAATAAACTCATATTCCCGCACTCCTGTGTAAGCGTGTTACGTAAAACGTTTAGAAAAACCCGTGTTACCTGCTCGATTTCAACTTGAGCAGTCGATGATGCGTTATTTTTAATTAAACATCAGGCTTTAACTTTTACAATACGTTTATTTTACAATTCAAAGTGGTAACAAAATTATGTTCAACAAAAATGTGTTCCTTTCCTCTCGCCGCCGCCACACGTAACCAGTGCCAACGTCTTCCGAGAACCGGTGAGTTGGTTGCTTATCCGACTCTCTTTACGTCAAACGAAAAATTCGCCGATCCGGTGGAATCGATGCGCCACTATTTTATACACCGACTTTCGTTTTCGTCGCGTTACTGTCGGGACTTCGACCGTCTTTTAGGCCCATTCAACACCGTGCAGGGCGGCCGACATTTTTACTCGTTCTCCGTTCATCGTTTCGTCGATAAACAATAGTTTAGAAATCTTAGATTCACCATTTCACGCTTCGAGGCGAAAGAGTGAATAAAATAATGAAAAAAAAAAAAAAAAATTATAATATAAGGTTCGCAAGTCCGTATCGTCGCACATCTTATCAGACAGCATTAGTATTACCATGCGTACGCGGTAAACAATTTTATAAAAGTCCGTTTCCACGCGTACTCGGGTAGTGCAGGTCACGGGTGAAGAAAGTAATAGTAATATTTGTAATAAGTAATACTTGGTACAATTACCTATAAGTAATACTTGGCTTCAGCAGATTTTTTTAAC